AGGAACAAATCGTAAAAATGAAAAATGTCAGGTGTAATCGACGACATAAATTTCAAATAGACGTGGACGTGTTATTGTTTTTGTTGTCATTGTTGGGAAGATAGATGGATGCTGTGGGATGGCACAGCGACAACATTTGGTTAACAACAATTCAGTAGATGAAAATAAAAACTATAATTGCCAGTGTTGCCGTTTATGATTTTAAATTCTTATCAAAAGAGGGATGAGTCGACCCTCCCGAAATTCGATTTATTGATTCAGAAGAGACAAATAACAATCTATTTATTAATATTTAATATTACTTAAGAAAGGGCTATCAATACTTTCTAACATATAATATAATTAAAATTCATATAAGCCAAACTTATTCGGCAAATTTCGAGCATATTTTAATTTATGAACAGAGTCTGGCCATTTGAAGAAATACTAAAATTAAAATATTCGCCGAAAAATTGTGTTCGAATTTGTCCGGAGACATATAGAACTTTTGCTGCAAGACCGGCATAAATAAAGAATCGATTTTGTAGCAAATTTAGTTGTGTTAACTCGCACCAACAATCATATGATTTTCGTAAGTGAAATTTTGTAATGTAATTACTAAAATATTTCTCTTGAAAAATTCGACCAATATTTTTTATATACTGAACATTAAAGTAATGAATAAATCAGGAAATTTGCGGTAAATAAGCTGGTCGAATCGAAAATGTGAACAAATTCGAAAATATGAACTAACCCGAAATTAATTAGTTCACATTATCGAGAGTTCACTGTAACAGTTTTGGTAGAATTGGTTAAAAATGTATGACATTTTAAGAAATTAAATAAAATTCTACCATAAATACCGGCTTCTTATTAATCGATAATTAAATGAAAATTCCGACCTTATTTTATTATTTTTTAATGTTTCGATCCTCAATAGAAAATTAAGACCAAACTAATTATCTTGGCTAAATATATAAATATTTTAGAGGTTTTCGATTTAAATACCAAAATGCGGCGATACGAAAACATGTCGAGACATAGACAATTTTCGGGATGAAGGTTTTACCCACTGAAAACAGAAGACGCCTCTCATCTTTCAAAGCAGCGAGCTATGGAAATCACTGATTTTTTAAAAATTTGACAATTTGTGGGGGAGGATTGTACAATGTATAATGTTTGGATGGAAATGGATTTTCCGATCGGTTCATATATGATTTAAAATTGTTCCTTTTTTTTGAGAATAGACTGTATATTGTAAAGGCATGGGTCAAATATTCCCTTGTAAAATGTTTGGTTTAGTTTACAATGTCTCGTTTTCAAATAATTCAATTTATACCGAATCTACACTAAATCAAGAAAGCCCCTTTCAAATTTCAAGTGAAAGTCTCAACAGCTCCTGAAGATATGGGCGATATATTGTGTTAGCATCAAGTTTTTTCAAAAAAAGTGTTTTTACGAATGGCGGGCACGATGACTCAAAAATAAATAATCCAATCAGTTGCTAACTTTAAATTTTATTCTGTATGTGCATAGCTTTCGTATGATCTAACTATGATATATGTATGTCAAGATCTTCCTTATTTTCTAAATTGGTTTGTGGTCAAAAATAGGGAATTTTCGAAAAATAACATTTCATAGGTCCGCCATTTTGTTAATTGTTATGAGATGTTAATAATCCTAGTTCATAGGTATGTCTCTTTCGAATCCCGTTGGAATTTTTGGATTCGGATGTTCCGGTGGTCGGAAATCATGTCCGCCGTCGAAAAGAAGGACTTTTATTTCATTTCAAAAACAACTACAAAACAAGAAAAAATGTCAAGTATTGTTCTTATCCTTTAAATATGGAAAGTTACAAATCTTCAATATATAATGCACCTTCATTTCCCAGGAGTTTGAAAATCGCCGAAATTTCAAATCGAGAATAGAGGGTATGCTTAAATCAAATACTTCAAAAAATTGTCCGCAAAATTTTTGTATGTAATTCCCAAGTCTTGATTTAAGTTTGGAAGATTTACTGCGATGGACAAATTTTAAATGAAATCGGTTATATTTTTAAAAATTCCTATCCACAAAAAATGTCTACCGCTTATGTAAATGTGGATATTTGAATTTTCAAATAATATACGCTAATATTTCTACCGAATCCGTGTGGAAAACATTTTCATTTTTTTTTCAAGGGAACCACACAGAACGGTAACACTGACAAGCGTTGTTGCCGCTACGAGCGATGATGATGAACGAACATTTTTTCTTATACGATACATTGATGGTGGTATCTGTAGGTTGTGATGGACCACGAATGTCTGTGCTGTGTTTTTTTTTTCTTTTCTTGTCTTGTTGTTGCTTGTGGCTGGCTGGCTGACTGACGGGCTACGTAGTATTTTCACAATTCTTGAAAACTTTACCAAATATAGTCAAGGAAACAGAAAGCAATTGTTTTTGTATTTTTTATAGAATGTGTTTGGTTTTGTGTTTGGATAAATTTAAAATTTATAAAAATGTTCTTTGGTGGGATTTTTATTTATTTTTTTATTTTTTAATTATTATTCAATTTTTTTTTCACTTACACTTAATTATCTAATGGATGAGGAGGAGTATTGAAATGAATTACTGGGTAGTTCCACCAAATATTGGTCAGATGTAGTTATTTTTTTGAGTACACTTTGTTATGTTGTTAATGACACTTTGTTGTTGTTGTTCTTTATCCTTCACTTCAAAACGATCGTTACAATGCGTTCGGTAGTTAAGAACGTTATATAAAAACTTGCTGTGTTTTAATATAGAAAATATATATTTTTAATTTTGTTTTATTTGTATTTGGAATTATTTCACACACGTATGAACACTAGCAACGCGCACATATATCTGCATATACACAAGTATATGTATGTATATATTCATCCATCTATAAGTAAATCCGACGTATAGTTGGTGTGTGCGTTTGCTATGATTTCTGTTTTTTTTTCTCGTGTTTGCTTTTGCCTTTCAAAAAATGTTTATATTGTGGAACGGTTTTTCGTCCGTGCTATAGAAAAAATCGGATCGTCGTCGTTCACGGCACTGCTCTGCGGTGAATGGAGGAAGAAAAAGACAAGTGATCTATTGAGCGTCTAGGTGTGTACTGAATTTTAAATTTTCATTTCGATTTTTTTTCGACGGACTGATGACTAAACCGTTCACACCGTTTGCCGTTTACAAATCTGCGCCAAAGGAAGAGTTCGGAATTGGCCAAGTTGCTTTCTCTCTTGTGGGGAGACACTAACATAAGGCAAGAGATTTACTAAACTCGTGAGAGTAGTAGATGCAGAGATCAAACATATGGTTGGCCCCATCTCTTGGCAATCACCTTGTGTGCTGTTCAAGATCCTTGAGCAGCAGCATTCATTAATTAGTACCATTCGTACGAAACAACTTGGAACTATTATTAGTCAATAGTGCAGAATGATTTTTGTTCGTTCGATTGTCAGGCATCAACATACACACACAAACACACGCAGATATTTCATGATACAATGATAGTTTTTGGTTTTTATATTTTGTTTACAAATTTCATTGAAGATTTTTGATCAAGTGCTGGGAAGGGGGTAGAGAAATTGGTATCAACCAATTCGGAAAGTGGTGGTAAAAGTAAATAATACTCGACAAATAAACGACCAAGTACTCCACAAGTGCTGACAATAAAAAGTAATAGTTCCAATCGATAAATAGTTTTTTTCTATTTTTATACGAATTAACATTTCTATAACAGATGGAGAAAGAGAAGCAACCTCATGGTAATTTTAAAAGGGCTGGATCTTTGAATCGGAATCTTTCAAAGCAGAAAACAGTTGTTTCCGTTGGAAAAAGCGCCAATGACCATGAAGATACGAAAAATATAGGGCGGGACCTTTATATGGAGGCTAAGTCATAATATTTACCTATATTGACAATTGTTTGCCAGATTACAACCAACTACTTCCAATATATAAAATACCTAAAATTATCCGTGACCTTTATATTTGGGCCTGGTCAAAACAAGGACTTGGATTGAGATTGGATTGATGTAAGCAGAATACCAAATTACAGTCCAACCTTCTGGGGCGTAGTACTATTAACATCCCGTAGCTTAATAGATTTGTTTTATTATAAATTAGAATTTCGGGAAAACCAATAACCAATTTCGGGAAAACCAATACAAACGGTTGTATATTTGGCAGTAAGGTTGTCAATTCTTCAGTGATTTGAAATGTCATGGAGCATAACTGAATCTGCTTGATATATACTTCCTGGGATCTCAGACTTTTCGAAGTGTTGCAAACTGATTGACAATATATACCCTCATTTGAAATGTGTTTTACTAAAGTCTTAATTTTTTTTATAAAAATTTAATTAAAATAGTTTTAGTTTTTTTATACATTTACAAAAAATGTGAACGCTAAAGCGTTTATTAATTTATATAAGCCGCAATTTTATGTAATGTTTGAACATAAAAAACGTTTACAAACAACCACAAACATTGGAACTGTCTATGACGACAATCTGAAATCTTAAAATAGATTTTCTTTGAATTTTGCACACACATTTTTTAGATTTTGGAAAGTGTTTTTTATAGAAAAGAAAATGAGAATGCTAATAATTTCACATCAAGAGAACATAAACAAAAAAAATCACACTCTCACATAAGAGAATACACATTATTAGAAACATAAGAGATTAATGTTTCGAAAAAGAGTATTGCATTACTATTGTGAATATGTTATTGAATCTTTAGAAATTGCAAGATTTGGTAGAAGGTTTGTAATTCAACAATATTCCAGAGTGTTGTCCTTGATATAATATATAACAGACCCTATAACTAAATGGTTTTGCGTTCCACTATATTATATCATAGAAAATTCACAAATTAATTTAAATCTATACTATTAGGATAAAACTATTAAAGAAATGTAGTTTATGTCTCTCCTGTATCTGTTTGTTGTTGCAAGAATTTAGTTTAATAGCACTTCTCTGTTGTATTAATTAAAAAATCTCCTACTTACCTCGTGTTTAGCTGGTTGTCGTCCACTGCCACCAGTTGTTGTCGTTGTTATAATTTTCGTTTCGCGATTTACATTCGGTATTGTGGGTATTGTCGATTCGACGCCTTTCATTATAATGCTAGCACCCAAAAACTTATTCAACAAAGCCCTGGCTTCCTGATCCTCAGCTGTGTCACCATCCTCAACAACTGCAGGAATATATATATATATATATATATATTTTAATTTAATTAACTTGAAATTCGATATATTCTCACAAGGACTTACCATTATCGGCATTTCGCATACGTTCCAAGACATCATCAACACTGGTTATTACCTTTTCTTCACCTTTGGTGTTTAAAAATGATCGTGATGACGATGATTTGGTTGAGGTCACTTTCTTAAATTCTCGTTGTGTCTTTTTAATCGATTCCGTTTCACTTTCACTCTCGACAATATATTGGTCACAAGACTCCACTTGGCAGTCGTCCTCGTCGTCTTCGTCATTTCTGTATTGTATGGTTCTAGTTTCGTAATATTCTAAAAAGGGAAATGAGAAAACAGATAAGTACATTTTCGAAAAACAGGTTACAATTGATCGTAAGGGTTTAAATTTGTATACCCTACAAAAACTATGTTGTGAAGTTATTGTACGTTTGGAAATTACAATGAAATATTTTCTACTTTCAGAATGCAAATCGATCTGTCAATATAAATATGAATCGAATAATCTATAAATGGATAAAAAAACTAATATATATATATGAATCCCCTATATTTGTTTAAATATTTTACATGGCTCCCATAAAAAGTGTCGCTTAATTTTGGGCATGTTTGGGCATGAAGTATATATAGATCGATGTTTTGGAATAGTCTCCATTTTCGAAATTTTGAAGGTTTTAGTGCCCCTATATTTGTTTAAATATTTTACATGGCTCCCATAAAAAGTGTCGCTTAATTTTGGGCATGTTTAAGTTCCAAGCCCAGTCTTCTGTTCGGAATTTTATTGATTTTCCATAAACTTACCATTGTTTTCACCATCCATATCATCATTGTCCCGACTTTGTTTACGTGAATTAGTGCGCAATATTAGACCCGCTTTTGGATAATTATTTGTCTTTTCCGAAACCATGGATGCGGATTCTTTTTGTAAGAATTTTTCACTCATTTCCTTGACTGAACCACGACGCACATATTTTGTTGTGGATGATTCCAAAAATTCTTCGGGGCTTGAGCGTACCGATGTTATGGTTCTAGTTTTATACTGCAAGGGGAGAGGAGAGAAATTCATAATTCAAATTCTATAAAATTATACATTTGAATAGAAGAAACATTACTTACACTCGAACTATTACCACCAAATGGCTCATCATCCGATTCCAATTTGTCGTGTTTAATCGATTTTAGTGTTGTTGTTGTCGTTTTGGTTTCTTTGACTTTTTCCTTAATGGCCTCCAATTCTTCAGGATTGGTGGAATAAATGATTTCTTTGCGTTCCACAATTGGTTTGGATTTATTATCCGAATAGTATTTCTCTTCGACAACATATCCAGTGACTTCTGTGGGGAGTAAAAAATGGGATTAGATTATGTATTGTTCAAAAGTAACTAAAATAAAATACGTTTGATCAAGTCAGATGTTTTCATATAGATTTAGATTTTGAATTTTTAATTTAAAATTTTGCATTTAATTTTGTGTCAAGCTCGGTAAATTGCAGTCTTTGCAAAGATATTGAAAATCCAAAAATCTAAAATAATAAATCTATCAGAAAAAACATATCCTCATCGTAATAGCTTTGTTTTAACCCCCTTTTCCCCTTTTCACAATTTACTTCTTCTCCCCCACCATTTAATTTGCATATTGCCATATCTTATCAATTTTTATCTTTTTTCTCAAAAGGCCATCATCATCACAAATAAAAACAAAAACAGTCATCGTTAACCGTTTTTATCAAAATGATTACAGAATAATTAAGTAATTCAAACAACAACCACAATAAACATCAGTTGTGTTTTGTGGTTGTTGTTGGTCATGGGAACGTAACACTTTCTCAAAAACAAAAACCCAACATTCCTAGGGAGGGAATAACCACGCAGTCAATTGTGAAGCAATGTCTTATCGTAATTTAATTTCTTGTAATTTCTTCTGGAAATTCTGGGAAACTTTAATAAAATGCATCAGAGACTTCAACATGAATTCATTCGGACAATGCAGACATAAGCACACACACACACACAAATTGAGAGAGGGTGTATTCCTAGTCCATTGTTTGCGTAGAAGTTGATTGATGATACCCCCTTTCTTCGGTATGTCTAAGATATTATCACGCTAATGGTTATGGATATTGTTGAATGACCAAAATAAATACGATATCGGTTGGAAAACCGAACACTTTATATCTACAAACACTAACTGTCAGATGCGTTTGAAATATTCTCTTTAAACAAATCGCATTATACGTGAATAACATTCATTTGTGGGAGACAGATTCGGATCCCTAAAATTTTGAACCGGATTTTGAGACAATATACAAGTTTTTTGCCAGTTCAAATCAAAACATGCTCTGAGGACCCAACAAAACCCAGAGTTTCGTATCTGACTCCATTATTATATGATTTTGGACAAACAGCACCTAACTTCGCTCTTAGGAAAGGCTAAGTTTTGGCTATTATATTTACAACTATATTCATTTTTACAATTCGAAAATTCAATTTATTTTTGACTTAACTGGAATATGCTGGATGTATGAATTAAATCACTTGCTCAACTAAAACTCCCTTCACAGTGCTAAAACCTTTTTATCTCAATAATTTCACCCCGCGCTTATTTCATATTTGTTTCCATATTTAAATTCAATTTATTTTCGCTTTGATCACATCGTTTTTTTATTATTTGATTTTTTTTACATTTCTACATACCTTCAGTTGTTTCACAGGTTGGTTCAGGCTGTGGTGGCTCTTGTTGTTGCTGTTGTTGTGGCTTCTTCTTTTTCAGTGCCCTAATGCCAAAGAGTGGTAGACCATTTTCATCGGTCGGACCAATACCATAACTCGATGTGATGCAATCATCTTCGATATACGATGACTTAGTGCTGCTAACTTTTTGATTTGTGCTGGATTTCATGGTACGACTAACACTGGACGACGACACTCTCGAATCGCTGGTCACTGGTCTTTTCGGTGTGGCCGAAGGTGATTTCAAAATATTTTTACGATCAGCCCAAACGGGTGTTTTTGGTTCGGCATTCGATTTCAGAGGTGCAGAAGTGGCAGGAGTACGTTTCGGTTGTGTCTTAGATGTGAAGAGAGTTTGTTGTTGCTGCTGTTCAGTAATTATGGTTTTACGTTCAGGACTTTTGGGCGAAACTTTACTCGCTACTGGTTTTTTGCCCTGTGGTGACGTTGTACGAGACGAAGTAGTCGACGGTTTTTGTCGGTCCGGCGAAGATTGAGGCGATATGGATTTTCTCGAGGAACGTCTGTGAGTAGTTTCCTTTTTATACGTACGTTCCTCGACTTCAGCACTATCGTATTCCTCGGAAACTTCATTTTTATTGGTGGCCCTGGGCAACATATCAACTTCCTCGTCATCATCGATGGGGTAGTAGGCTTTGGGTTTCCTTATTTTTGGAGTCGATTCCCGATAGATTTCTTCGACGTGCTCTACATTTTCATACTGCTTCTTTTTCGTTCCCTTCACTTGGATTTCTTTGCGCTGAATTTCGGTTGTAAAGCTGGGGCTGGGACTGCGTTCGTGCGTTCGACTGCAAACCCTTGTCTGGGTAAGTCTCGTTTGGGGACTAAGACTACGTTCACGGGGACTTGAATATTTCGAATCAGGACTTTCGGTGCGTCTGGTTACCTTTGTTACTTGAGTGGTGCGTATCCGTTCCGGCGAGGTGTGAGTGGATGATGAAAGCCTCTCCTCCTTTTGGTGCTCCTCTTTGTAATAGTAGTGTTGTTGTTTTTCTTCTTTTTTGCTAATTACCTGGCTACTGGACGGTTTCGTTTTAGTATCCCTCGTTGTGATGGTGGTCGTGGTGGAAGTGGTGTTACTCATATTCTTCTTGACCAAACGGATTTGAGCCCGTATGCGTCGTCGTAACTCGTACGATGTAACCGTTTCGAGTAATTTCTCCAATATCACCAAATCAAAGATCTCTTCAATATTATGTTCCTCTTCGGGTTCCACATCCAATTGCTGCTGTTCGGAACGGGGTTTTTGTGGTACATCGAACTTAACTTGGGAATTGCGATCGGGAGCATCATCATCATTACCACCCGATGGACGACGAGTATAATTCGTTTTATTTATTTCCAGGGAATCACGACGGATGTGTTCCAGCGAACTCTTGGTGTGGTCCATATACGATGGTCTCCTTCCCGAACTGGGGCTGGGGCTACTGGTAGTTGTTGGCACTATTGGTCTCTTAGCCACCGGTTTAGTTTGGTTGTTGTGGTGGTTCTCAAAGAGACTCCTGCGCGATGCCACCGACTCCGTTGTGGTTATCACCGTTTTCGGCCTGTACGTCGCCGATTGTCCTGGTGTTTTCTTGACGGGTGGACGATTTTCTAAAAATGATTCATTTGTTTCAGTGGTGCTGGGGGAGTATTTACTGTTTGTGGTGCTGTGTTTGAGTAAAGTGCTTCTCTCGGTTAAATTTACGGGTTGGTGATCTTTTGTGCTTCTACCGGGTGAAGAGAGTGGTGCGGATGGGCCCATTGAACCTGGTGTCATTTCTTTCATTTTTGGTCGGCTGGTGGGAGATTTCGATACAGTGTTTGAGGAGGTTGTTGGCTCTTTTTTGTTGATGGTCGTCGATTGTTTTGTCTTGACTGTTTCTTCTTCGTTCGTGTGGCTGTTCGTTGACCGTACTGTTGTGTCAGAGTTAATGATCAGTTCTGTCTCACTATCGTTGGGCTCAACCTCTTCAACTACCTGAAATTCCTCAACATAGTCGACGTTGTCGTCGTCGTCGCTTACAGCATCGTCGACTTCGACGTGGCTGCGATTCGCATTCTTAATGTGAGTGGTGGTGGTGCTCGTTCGTCGCTGTTCGGTTGTGTGCATTGGGGACTTTTTGCCGACGGTCGACTGCGGTGACTGTGGAGATTTTTTGGGCCCGTTAATGCTGCCAGTCGTTGGCTGATGTTTGGGTTTTTGTCTGTTGTTGATTGTTGTGCTACTTTTAACTGACGTTTCGTTTTTGTTACTGCTAACCCGGTAATCGGAATCAGTGTCTGGATGTGTGCGCCGTTGTTGAGGCGATTGTGTATGCGGCTGGCGTTTATTAGCCGCGTTGGTAGTGGTGCTATGGCTGGTGGTAATTGTAGTGGTCGCCGTAGCAGCTACCTTTGGCGAGTGCTTCGATTTTACCTGTGGCCGTTGTGGTTGTTGTTGTTGTTGCTGCTGTGGTGTGGATTGCCTGGATTTCTCCGAATCTTTCATTGCCGGTGACACATACCTGGGCTGAGTTTTGTTGACTCTGCTGCTGGAGGTTGGCGTTTTTGTTGTTGTTGGCTTACTTGGCGTTGGCTTCGAGCTGCCTCCACGAGTTTTGCTGTTATCGAAGACAGATGGTCTGGTTAAAATGTCTTTCTGACGACGTTCCTCCAAACGAATGGTATGCATTGCAGTGTGGGGTATTAACTCTTCATCGTCATTATCGTCATCGGGAATATCGCTTATGTGCACTTCATCATTATCCCCACCGTGATCATCATCGTCTTCGTAATCATCAACTGGACGTCGTTGTTTTACAGCTGATGTCTGGTCACGACGATGAGTCACAAATTCCTCGGCAGTGGTTTGGCTGCTTATGCATTCCTCATGCATCGTTGTGTCATTACGATGGGTGTGCTCCGTTGTGGTCGGCTCTCCCATATCACTTTGACGTGAAATGTGTCGGGATATGTGTCTAACTAGCTCGGGCGACTTTTGTGGTTCACTCGGAGCCAATTTAACTGTTGTAAATGGGCATTCAGTGACTTCTAGGTCATCTTCCTCGGGGAATTCTTTTGGTTTCGAGTCACGTGCCGTGGTAATTGTTGTCTGTTTGCTGGTCAGGCTTTCGGCACTCTTTATGAACTTATCGACCTTTTCGTCGACACTCAACAGGCAATCGTCGTTGTCGGGCACACGTGTCTTGTCATCAAATTCCCTGTGGAAGGGGCTGGAAGTTTTGGGTTTCTTAACTTCCTCCGCAATGTTTTGGAATCGATTGACTTTGTCGTGAACACTTAGAAGGGATTCATCATCGGTAATGACCGTTGTAGTGTGGTATGATTTTTCCGAAATCGAAGGATAATCCAAACTAGAAGGAGCCTCCACCAGGGGAGTGCACAAAATGTCCTCTTCCTCTTCGTAGGTTCTGCGACTCACTTCTCTGATGTGACAACCCACATAGCTGTTGTTTTCCTCCTCATAAATGGGTATATTCTTAACGACCGGTTTGCGTTTGGGCTCGTCTTCAGGTTCTTGAACCACATCGGGGTATCTTGGTTTGCCCGTATCCAAATGAGCCGGTACTGGTGTTGGTACAATTTTATCCGGCGACGGTTCTCTTGAACTCTTGGCATGTTGAATATCGATGATGACATTCTCCATATCCTCGCTGGTCATCAAACGATCGGTAGCACTCAGATTTATAGATTTTGTGGCAAAGCATTTATTGGGGCGACGATGATCGGCACTCGGCTTTGGAGATGGTTTCTTGTCTGAGGTTGGTGTCAGTATTGTCGGCTTATCATTTTCAGGTTTCTTTTGAACCTTAATTAGATTCTCACTTGTGGAGCGGGACATTTTCGTATCCTTATCCTTACGTGTTACCCTATGGACGGGAGCAGATTCTTTACGTTCCGTTACAGGCATTCTTCGAGATAACTTTTCGGGCAATGTTGTCGAATCGATGATTTCCTTATAAACCGAGTCTTTTGATTTCTTTGTTGTTGTCGTTTCCGAAGATTCCGTATGATCGATAATGATTTCGGTATTAACGGAAATGTTACTGGATCTACGACGTTCAGTGAGGCGAGTGGGACTGGTTTCTGGTGATGAAACTGCATCAACCTGATCGGGTTTCTTTGGCGAAGTTTTATCCTTACGTACAGAAGATCTCAGGCGATCCTTCATGGTTTCCGTGGTGACCTTTGTATCTTTTGGTGTTGTTGTCGTGGTCTTTCCGGGTGTTTTCTTGGGACTCTCAACAGATGGTTTGGCGGGGGTTTTGTAAGGGGATTTCTTGGTAATTTCAGAAGTTTTATCAATCTTCTTCTTTTTGGTAATTTCGATGGTTTCAACAAATGTCTCTTGGGGTTCAGATTCCGAATCGCTTGCTGTCTCCGGGTAATCCTTCTTAACACCCGTTACATACACCTTTTCGGTAGTTATAAACTCTTCATTCAGATTGGATTTTGTAGGTCCTTTTGGTTTTTGTTTCGGTCCCTGTTTGGGTGAATCCATTGTGGGTTTCAGGGACGGCTTTGTTGGAGTACTAGTTTTCTTAGTTGCATCGATTGTGGAGCGTTTCTGAGTAACCTCAATTATTCCAACTGACGGTTCCTTGTTTGGTCTAGTGGGTGTTTTAGAACTGGGTTTCCGAGGTGATTCAATTCTCTTATTTGTTACCTCAATCATTTCACAATATCTATCCTTTGGTGAGCCATACATGGGAGATTCAGGTCTTCTTGTGGGTGAAGTTTCGTTGCGTTTCTTGGTTATTTCGATGGTCTTGCTGTTTACTTCACGGAGTTGAGTTTTCTCCGGCTCCTCCGAATCACTAGTTGTGTCGGGATAATCTTGTTGAACGTTTGAGACAAACACCTTTTCGGTTGTAATGAATTCCTCATTGACATTGGTTTTATATTGAGATTTCTTGGAGGTGGGTTTTGTAGGCGAATCGGGTTTCGAAGGTTGACGTTTGGTTGGTTCCGGCTTTGATTCGGTTATTCTGGTGGGCGAACGGGATGTTGTTTTCTTGGTAATGTCCGTCTGTTTAGTAACCACCACACTTTCGTACTCAGAGTCTTCAGTTAAGGTAGGTCGTTCCGGAGATCTGGAAGGTTTCTGTGGCGACGATTTGATACCTCTTGTAGGTGATTGAGAAGTTGATTTTTTAGGAGTGTCATAAGTCGGTGACTTCGGTCTAGAGGCCGTAAAGCGCTCTGTCAATCTGGTAGGCGATCTGGATGTTGTTTTCGTGGAGCTTTCAGTGACAACCACAGTTTCATATTCAGAGTCTTCGGTTGCGGTTGCTCGTTCGGGAGAACTAGAAAGTTTCTGCGGTGTAGATTTTGTACCTCTTGATTGTGATGTTGGTTTCTTCGGAGTATCAACACATGTTGGTGACTTCGGTTTCTTTGTGACCTCCTTAATCACTTCAACCGTCTCATAAGTCGTACCCTTGGTAGAGCGTTGCGGTGAACTTGTTGGCGATCCCGAATATGGTTTCTTTGTGCTGGGAGAAACTGATCTGTTTGGTGATCTGGAGCTAGGTGTTTTGGTTGTGGTTTCGGTAATTACCTCAACGGTTTCAAATGTGGTATCCTTGGGAGTTCTTTGAGGAGATCTGGAAGAGGGTTTCTTTGTCTCATAGTTGGGAGACTTCGGCCTTGTTGGCGATTGGGAGCTTGGTTTTCTTGTAGTTTCTATACGTTCATCAGTCACTTCTACTGTCTCATATGTAGCCACTTTGGGTTTCCTTTGTGGTGAAATAGAAGGTGATCTGGGTTTCTTTTGTTCAGTTGATGGCGAGCCAGGTCTTGTAGGAGATCTTGGTTTCATAGTCATGGTTTCTTTGGTAACCACAACTTGTTCCCTAGTAGTTCTCTGAGGTGATCTATCAGAGGGCTTCTTTTGATCTTGTATTGGTGATCTTGGCCTTGTGGGAGAACGGGAAGATACTTTCTTTTTCATATCGACATGTGATTCAGTAACCACTTCTTCAGTTTCATAGGTAATATCCTTGGTAGATCTTTGAGGGGATCTAGAAGAAGGTGATCTGGATTTTGTCTTTTTGTCGATGTTTTCCTTAAAACGTTCACTTGTTTCTGGCTCTGAATCACTTGTAGTATCTGGCAGACGTTTCTTAGCCTCTGTAATATAAATTTCTTCAGTCGTAGTTGTATAACCCTCAGGACCCTTGGGTGATTGTTTTGTGACAACTGGTGATTTCTTTGTAATATCAATATACTCTGTTTCAGTAGTCACCTTTACAGTTTCCTCTTCTTCGGGATATGTTACATCTGGTTCCGAATCACTTGAAGTCTCTGGCTTATCTTCTTCATTAGGCTTTTTCTCAACAGGTTTTGTCTCGGGAGCCTTCTTTGTGATCAGTGTCTTCTTAACACTATTTATTGACAAAGGTTCGTCATCATCATCGTCACAATCTTCAATTTTGACTTCGAAGGTGGTTTTCTGAACAGTTTCTTTTTTAGTTTCTTTGTCATCTTCCTCCACCAGTTCGACCTCATTAACGGGACGTTTTTTGTATGCCCCAGGTGTATTGCCATATGTTTCCATACCCAAAATTTCGCGACAACGATCCTCGAAGGTATCACGACGAGTTGTACCTTTCTTTACAAAACTCGGATACTGCACCGGCTCTTCGGGAGCCTTAGAGATGAAGGCACCATCTGGTCGCTCAGGTTCAGATTCAGTTATTTTTTCGCGAATCGTAGTTTTTTGAGTAGAATTTGTGATGATGGTGGTTGGTTTTCCAGAAGGTTCATCATCCTTGGGATACTTTTCCTTTGGCATCGGCTGTCCGGAATATGGTTTCTTATCTCTAGGTTCATTTTCATCAGGTTGTTGTGGACGATCATATGAAGGTTCGTTATCTTCGGTATAAGCTTCCTGTGGTTTGTCAGGATAGTCGGCAAGTTTTGCTTCAAACGGCTTGGGTTTTTGTTCTTTTGGTTGCTTTTCCTGCAGATAATCTTTTATTTCGGGTTCGGCCTCATTAGGTGATTTTTGACAGGTTTTTGATTCCTTTGGCGCATCACCTTTAGGCTCGCTATCGGTAGCTTTTGGTTTCTGTGGACGTTGTTCTGCCTCAATAAATTGTTCGTGAATAATGGTCGAAGTTGTCTTTTGAGTAACATTTCGGGTATCATCGTTGCGAATGTATTGTTCAGCTGTGGTTTCGTACAAACTGGGTCTGGAACTCTTGGGCTTTTTATCAATTGGCTGTTGAGGAGATATGGGAACGAAATCCTTGTCATCTTTGCTTGGGATTGGTTTTTTAGGTTGTTCGTTTTCAGGTCTTGATTTTGGAGCCACCTGCCGAAGACTATCCTCTGGTTCTTGAGGCTCTTCTCTGGGATATTTACGTTCGGAATCTGTAAATTGTTCGTGAATAGTTGTTGTAACATTCTTTTGGTTCGTGGTTTTAATATCATCATTCCGAATGTATTGTTCAGCGGTGGTTTCATATAGATTTGGTCTTGTGGATTTGGGAGTTTTCGAAGTTGGTTCATTAAGCTTTTGTGGATATTTAGATTTTCTATCGTCAGGTTTAAATTCATCAACATCCTCGTCAGTATCGGGTTGCTGTTCTGTATCCAAAGGTTTCTCCTTTTTTGGTTGACGATCTTCGGGTTTCTTGGGTCCATGATAAGTAAAAATAGTTTCATCCTCAACTAGAATATCAATATCTTTACGTGTCTTGACATTTTTATTGGTGGTTTTTATGGTAATCTCACTTGTATGATGTTCTTTATCGGTGTCTGAAGGATATTCGGGTTTCAGGGGAGCTTCTCCACTTGGTTGTGATTTACCTGGCTTCTGTTTCGTTTCCCAAGGATATTCCGGTCCAGATTGAAGTTTGTCGTGGGGATGTGTGCGTTCAGGACTCTTCCTATTTGGCTCACCTGGCTTTAGAACAGGTTTTGTTGTAACTTCTGAGGGATATTTCCGTTCAGGGGATTCATTTCTTGGCTTATCCCTATCTTGGATTGGATATTCTTTTTGTGAACCTGGCCTTGATTGCGGTTTGTCTCCATTCAGAACATCAATTTCTTTACGGGTCTTGACATTTTTATTCGTAGTTCTTATAGTAAGTTCACTTGTCACACATTCCTCCTCTTCATTATCGCTAGGATATTCTTTTTCCAAAGGAGCGTTTTCGCGTGGTTGAAACTTACCAGAGGGGTATTGTGGTCTAGATTGTGGTTTATTATCGGGACTCTTCGTAACTGATTCGTTTATTTGCTGTTTGGGTTGTTTCTTATCTTCTGAAGGATATTTTCGTTCAGGGGATTCATTTCTTGGTACGTCTCTTCCTAGATAAGGATATTCCCTTTGAGGACTTTTCCTAGTTGTTATCAATTGATCTTCATCCAAAATATCAATTTCTTTGCGGGTCTTGACATTTTTATTCGTTGTTTTAAAGGTTAGCTCATTGGTTACACGTTCCTCTTCTTCAGTATCGTAAGTATATTCTGGTTCCGAGGGAGCATCGCCACGTGGTTGTACTTTACCAGGTTCTTGGGAAGGATGGTCCTTAGTTTTCCTTGGATATTCAGGTTTGGTTGGGCTTGTTTCACTAGGCCTATATCGTGGTTTGTCATCGGAGTGAGTACGACCAGGCTCGTCTGGTTTTTGTCTGGGTTTGAGTTTTATTCCAAATGGATATTCACGTTCAGGAGATTCCCTTCCAGGACTCTTACTTTGTGACCTTGACTGAGGCTTTACTTGTACCAAAATATCAAATTCCTTATGTGTCTTGACATTTTCATTTGTCGTCCTTATGGTTAGCTCACTTGTAAGACGTTCTTCTTCTTCGGTATCGTAAGGATATTCTGGTTCCGAGGGGGCATCGCCACGTAATTGTGGTTTAGAAGGTTTTTGTGCAGGATAGACCTGTTTGGGACTTTGACCAATTGGTCTGGATTCTGGATATGTGGGTTCAGGACCTTTATCGATCGGTTTGCCCGATTGTTGTGTAGGTTTCATTTTATCTCCTGAGGGATATTTTCGTTCTGGAGAATCCTTTCTTGGTTTTTCTTTGCCTTCGAAGGGATATTTCCCTTGAGGTTTATCTTTCTGTTCAAATGGAGACTGGCGAACGGGACTCTTAGTCGATGGTACAGACTTGGGGGTCTCTTGAGGTTCCTTCTCATCCTCCGAAGGATATTCACGATCAGGAGATCCATATCTTGGACTTCTGAGTTGAGGACTTCTGCCACTTGGTTGAGGTTCTGGTTCACGTGCGGGACTTTTGCCATTTGGTTGTGGTTTCTTTTTCCGTTCTGGAGATTCCTGCTGAGAAATTTCTGCATATTTCGTAGTTTTTGTTTTGATAACCTCAGTGTGTTTTACAATTTCAGGTTTACTGGGTTTACGAGTTATTTCGACAGGTTGTTTAACGACGCCTGCCGGCTGTTTGGTTGTTGGTTTCATTGGTGCAGCCTTAGTAGGCTGTGGTGTGGTTAGAGATTTTCGAGGACTTTGTGATGGTGTGTTTGGTGTTCCCTTGGGGCTTTGTTGAGTTTTGGGTGCTAGCGGAACGGGTTTTTCTGGCTCGTTGCGTTTGATTGGACGTTTTGTATCGCTCGTTGGACGTACCCCGCTAGATGTCGGTGTACGACCTTGCGGTTGCTTTTCATTTGTAATCAATTGTTTGGTCGTGGTTTTGACATTACGTGTCACCGAATCGATGTCTTCATAAATATGATCTTCCGTTATGAAGACATCATCTTCCGGATGACGACGCGAAGCATCACCAGATGGTTTTCGCTGTGACAGCACTGTGGTTTCCCTATCAATGTCAACTTGTTCAAATGTATTTTCCCTATTGACAGTTCTAGGTTCATCACTGTCATATTCGGTTGCGGGACGGTCGTATACCTTTTCAGGCCTTATCCGATCTGGGTGTGCTGGGTGCTGATCTACGTTCGAATTTGGTACATCTTTGTGGCCAATTGGTGAGTTGGTGTCGTGATCTATCTGCGGTGATCTAGATGATGGAAATGATGTTGGCGATAATGGCCGTGAAGGATGTGTCTTTAACGGTTTTTGATCATCTTCACCCAGGGGACTTTTACTTTTACTGGATGGATATGGACTACTTCTACTACTTGTTGGTGCTGGTGATGATCGGGGTGATGGTTCTGTTTTTGGAAATTACTCAATTATAATCTTCACCTTTTTGCATTTGCATTTGATTTGTTTTTGTTTTTATTAAGTGTTTCATTTTATTGTTTAGTATAAATTGTGTTTTAATTACATTCTACATACAAAAATACATACAAAGGAGGGCATACATAGATATGTTTATTAATTCAATTGCTACTACTACTGCACTTAGAACTATGGTTAATATATTGGATATATTGAATTCAAATACATCGATATTTTTATTTTTCGGAACAATTAGTCACTGGTTTATTATTCAAAAATCTACATTATGATTATTATGTGATTAGATTGTTGTTGTTGTGGTTATATGCAACTATTTAATACATAATAACATAAATAAGTTAGCAGGCATAGGATATGTGTGGCGTTAGTTGGACCTTAATCTAGTCGAATTAGCTTGGTGTCTGTGTGTGCGTTCTATCATGCGATCGTCCAATCTGTTGTGAGATTCATGTGTCAAATTCCATTAAATTTTGATTGGGATGCCCATGCCAAGTGTTGTCGTCCAATTTATTGAAAGGTAACCACGTGTAAGTGAATTTGAGGTTAATTGCCAAGACCATGCTAATGGCTATTCGCCACCTTGCAAAATCAAAGATAAGGACAATAATTAAAAAAGGAGTACAGTGGAATAGTTGAAGAAGCAGAAGAAGGGGAGGAAAACATTAGAGTAGTAAAGGTGAAAAGGTGGGTCTGCCAGTATTTGGAGGGTGTTTTTGGTTGGTTGTTCTTTTCCTTCCAGAGACCACGTGATTTGTCACATTCACATTCTCATCTCTTCTTACCCTGTTCATTGGCAGTGGTCTTTTTGCACGGACCAAGCAGGGAATAGTTTTTCTTAATGCATGGCTCCTCAATAACCTCGCTCAGTGGCATTTGATTGCTTTTGGTCGCCAAATTGTCGCCTATGGTCTTTTTGGTAATGGTTAGTGAAGAATCGGGGTTAATGGGATAGGATAGAGTATCATTTGCAGAAGTGGAGGAGGAGGAGGTGGTATTGTTCTTGTTGTTGTTGGTGGTGGTGGTTGTGGTAGTAGTAGTATGCTGGTGGTTATCTGGAGAACACATGTTTCCATTTACTCTTCACATATGCTTAGGCTTAGGAATGCGTACCTGATTTCGGCACATCTTTGACTGGACTGGGTTTACTAGTCACAGTTCTGGTTGTAGTTGTTGTGGTGGTGGTGACATTTTTTCCAGGTGAAGGAGATTTAGTACCACGCGGCGACGATGATGAGGTTACACGTTCAGTAACTACTACCGTCTTGCCACCCACTGTCCTGGGTGGGGTCTGACGGGTGACAGTGGTACTGCTAATGCGACTGGTTTCACTGTCGTGAGAACCTTCACGCATATCGCGTCTAAATGTTTTCGTTGACGAGACACTGGAACGTGGTGTGTGACGTGGTCCATCAGTACTATAACTATCGCGACGAGTCTGATCAACGGGAGACGAGCTACGCAATGAGGCGGCAAAGGCTCTGTGGGCGGCATCCACTTCTTTCTCCTTGTGTATAATACGTTCGGTAGCTTCAACGGTTGGTGATGGTTTCTTGGTTGGCGTGGACGATGTTGGAGTCTTTGTCGGTGACACATATTGCCCTGCTGCTGGAGTACTGCTGGCTTTAGGTGTGTCTCTAGTCGAAGGGAAACCCTGAGTGGAATAATCTGGTGTCGATGGTTTTTGAATATCTCTGGTCGAGGGGAATCCATGGGGAGTGGAATAATCCGCCACTGGTTTAGTTGGTGAACGTACCGAGGGGAATCCCTTCGATGGCACTTGATCTCCAGGAGTCGTCACAGTATATTTATCACTGATGTATTCCACATCGACGGGTATGCGGCGTACAGGGCGGCCATCATCCCCGAGTACTTCAGTTTCGATAATGCGTTCCGTATTTGTGTTGTATTTCGTGGTATGGGACTTTTGGGATGTTACAACAACTTCACCGTCAGGGGTTGTAATGGTTTTGGGTGCACCCGATGTGGGTTGCATGGCTCCAGATGGTTGAGATCTAGTATCGGGATATGTATTATGATGAGATTGTGGTCCTCTTGCCGAAGGAAATCCTTGAGTGGAGTAATCCGGATTGGTTCTAGGCTGTGGTGCCTGTTGGGGTTCTCTGACTGAGGGAAATCCATGAGTAGAGAAATCCTGATTGGTCTTCGTGGTGTCCAAAATTTGTTCATAATGACGATTGTCGTCGGTGGAACGAATATCAGTTTCAATGATTCGTTCAGAATTTGTCTGGTGTTTGACACTACGCTTCTTTTCCGAACTGACAATAACCACCTCTCCATCTTCAGTGGGAATGCGTCGTTCAGTGACAGTGGGCTCATATTCGCCACGCACCGGGACAACAGCTTCCCTTGGTGGAGGAGAAGTCATTTTTTGTGATGGACTAGTCGAAGTGGGATGCATTGCCTGTGGTCTATGATTGGCAAATTCTTGGGTTGGCTTATTAGGTCTCACCGATGGGAAACCATGGGTACTGAAATCATTTGTAACAGGCTTGGGACGTGGACCACCACTTGGCACCTGATAACCATCATCGTATTCGTGAATTGTCTCCGAAGTGGTTTCTGTGGAAAATTTGCGATTAGATGTTTTCGTGGTCGAGTACTTGGTCTCTACGGTGTCATCGTTTGTGGTCGTGTGACGTCGCACAGTTTCGGCATTGTCGACAACATCATCACTGGGACGCCTCAAACGATCCGAGGGTGGTTGACCCTGATAGTTTTTTGGCTGCTGATAGTTTTGTTGCGAGTCACGCCTCTGGGTGTTGTTGGTGTTGGTTACCGTCTGCTGAGTACTGACATTGGTCTGAGATGGTGCTGCAGTGGGAGTTGTTTCTTCGGTCTCATAGCGTTTGTTGCGCACAATGGTGCCGTCGGGTAAACGTTTCACGGTCGTAATCATCTTCACATTCGGCTTGGGATACTCGACAGAATTCGAAATAATTTCACCCGGTTGAGACATCAAATATTGGACATGTTGTTGATATTCTGGCGAAGCCTTATCCATATCCACGTAGCGTTTATTCTGCTCACGAGTCTCATTGGTCTGGACATTTTGCGAAGTGTTGGTTTCCTGACGATTGCGTTGATATTGTTGCGTTTGTTGGACGTGTTGTTTCTGTTGATCATCATAGTATTGGGGTTCATAGCGTGGTTCGGCTTGAGTTGGGCGCTGTTGATATTGTTGAGGAGGATGCTCTTGCATACGTTGTGGGACGGAGTCCATCAAATACTTGGGTTGATGATAATCGACCGGTTGGCCGTTTTCATATTCGGTAGTCGATGACGATTGGAAAACCTTTGAGGAGGAGGTCGATGTCGATGAACTGGTACGTATTTCAGTGCGTCCCGAATTTTCATCGCCAATGACAACCTTCTCCTGCAAATGGGTATTGGAACTTTCCGAAGCTTTCTTAACGAAATTCTTGTCGTCACCCTCCTGCATGGCCATGGAACGTTGTTCGTTCCGTCCCTTAAATTCAGCTGTACCGCCATTGATATGTTCAACACCTAAACAATGGGAGAGAGAGTGGATTGAGAATTAAATATTTAGTATTTCTTAAAGCAGGGCTTACCATCAGTGGTGGCAATGGTTTCGGCACGAAAACCTCTACCGTCTGGAGTTACCTCCGACGATGACTGGACATTCCATCCAGTACTGCTGGGATTATTCAATGCCATCGATTGAAATTTCAATTCAGATGGACTCATCGAATCACGAATTTCCTTGGATTTCAAACTTTGGAAACTCTGATCGCCAAAAGATTCACCATGGCTGGGCGCCAGAGGATCCTTTCCAAAACCAGCAACATTACTATCCGCCATTATGTCGAACTGATAGAGATCACGCAATCTAGATTCACGTAACTTGTACAATTGCGAACGTATTTCCTTTTTACGATTGATATCTTCGGATTGCTGCCACTGCAAATAAGGGAAAATGGAGAGAGAAGATATAATTTAATTTTGGATTTAATGAAACATATAGGGAAAATATACACGGAGTATCGTTTTATGATTTGATGTAGACAACTTCATATCATTTGCTAGAATTTTGAATTTTCCGACAACTACAACTAAACACGAAATTTGATTTATTCAAATATTGAGAAGAAATGATCAACCCCCTTTTCAAATGTTTTTTGCTACGCCTTTAAATTATTATCAGCACAACAAAGGTACACAAACGGTCGGTTTTTTGCCGGTAATGTTGATAATAGATTTCTACTCTCTCGCTCCCGATCCCGCTCTTTTCGGCTTATGCCATGGCAATATTTTAAAATGATGATATCATTTCAAATTGGGTCTGGACTCTCACTCTCGAATGGATGAAAAAAAAAACAGTTGTCATTAATGTTTTTGTTTATTAACTTTTAACACTCCAGTGGTAAAAACAAAAGATGGATTTTTGTTGTTGTTGTTTTTGGTACCTCAAACAGATTGTTTACATTTGTGTAAACAGGCTACAGTCTGCGTAGTGTATATAAGAACAGGAATGGGATATTAACTAATAAGATTTATTTTATATGTTAATAAGTCTTGATTTAGATTAGGCGAGTTTACTTGCGGCAAGTCTTTGTTTGTACAAGGGGTATAGAAATGAAAAAAAATTGCGATTTTAATGGGATATTAATATATATTTAAATGTGAAAAAACAACAAATAAAAAAATATTTTGGATTTATTTTACATGTTAATAAGTATTCAAAATTTGAATTTAGTTTTTGGAAGGTATTTCTTTTGCCTTTTATTATAACTCATGTTCATTCAATTTGAATCCAGTTTCTGTCATATTAATATTTTTATATTTTCAAATATATTGAGCGTTATATTTTTAGAAAACCTTAAATATTCGTTTTAACTACACTATTCGAATACAGCAGGATGTATTATCGTATCATTGCAATAATAATAATAATATTTATTTTGTATATCTCTGTATGACAATTTATTAAAAAAGTCATTATTTTGTAACTTATTCCAAAAACAAATTTAGAAATCATTTATTTTTATTATTTATTTACATTTTAACGGTTATCATCGGTATTTATGGTTTATTGCAAAACACAAAATAAAACAAAATCGTGGAAATTGGATTTTGTTGAACAATTTGTTACGTTCTTATCAATGAACGAACGACCTTATGAGTCATGACAATATTTCTGTGGGAAAATCTACAGAAATGTGGGAGAGTGTGTGTTCACATATAATCAACATCAGTTATTTATATTGTGATTATGATAGATTAGCAAAATATTAAATTGTATTTGGTATATTTTTAACTATGAAATGATTTGATTAAAGTGGAATTTTAAATCATAAACAAATAATAGCAAAAAGTATGATCGATTTTTTAGACCAACATTCTAAAACAACATTTGGAGTAGTGGAATCATTTTGGTATTGGACATGTTTGTATTGAAAATGAACAGATTAAGCTGATCAATAATTATGGTTGGATAAAATACAAACGGAAAGCCAAATCAACTAATTCTCTGGCTTGTGACAGAATATTTGTTCCATAAGGCGGATTAAAAAAAGTTTTCCAGGCGCGCCAGTCTTGTGCACAGCTCTTCCAATTTGGAAGACCATGTTCCGAGATGTTGTATTCCACTTGATATTTCCATCAAATTCGTGACCTTCCCCTTCTACGTGAAGCATCAGTTAGCTCGCTTTTATATGCATTTTGAGCTTGGGTATCCATTCAATTTTGAGCTTGGGTATCCATTCTCCGAAAAAAGGTGGTACAACAGATGGTTCATTCATGTTTCCATAGAACTTTCGGAAAATTTTATATGTGCTTATATGTTAAAGTACGAACCTATATTACAAATCTACTGATATGGGGTATTTAAACCTCTAATGTCAAATTAGAGCTTACAAATGTTAAATTAGAGATAACAAAACTGGAAACACGAGGCGGTATTAAGCATTTCAAGTATATGTGCTAGTCAAAATAAAGTCCTATATTTAATTTCCTCCTCTTAGAATACGCAACACCATATTGAAGATACCTATCATTGAAAGTCGACTAGGATCTCCAAAATACTTAAAATACACTGTACGTTTAACTTGAATTTTTATCTAATAATCGGAAGTGTCACATAAATATGTTAAAAATTAAGACAAGAACTTTAAAAATATTGACAAAAAATTGGGGAAATTCATATGGGGTCTATGTCAGAACTTGGCCCAATTTCGTTCCACACCTTTAGTTATATCCTCAACATATTAAAAAATTTGTAGATTTTTCCTCATTATACACTCAATCTTACGGCTAATGCGGGCATATAAACTTTTCTACGATAGAAATGTGCCTCATCGAAATATCGGTTTTAAACCCCGAGTTTCTTTGGACCCCATCCGTTTCAGACAATTGGAACTCGATTTACAAAGGGCACTATAAGTCCCAAAGGTAGTAATCAGTTTCATTAAAATTTTTCACTTGTAATATATCTTCCAAAATTAGATAAGGTTCGAATATGAAAAACATCGATCCACTCCTTCGATACATCCCAACAATATGATCAACATTTTACTGAAAATTATTTCGTAAATATGATCCGATTTGAACCAAAGCTTAGTATTTGAACGAAAAAATGGGTTCGGTCATTGGTCTTGATCTATATTTAGGTAACTACTACATTGTATGGAGGTGTATTATTTATATCTAAGTGCGATTTTCATTATACATGACTGGTGTTTTGCGAATCCGTAATTTTAAATTTTTTTTTCAAAATGTTACAGGTCCACTGCGAAGCGAGCTTTGTTGCCGGCTTAAAAACACGTTTGTGATTTTCATACGCCATCAATTTAGAATGTTATTGTTTTGTTTGTGTTTGCTCATTTGCTTCTTTATTTATTTATTTAGGTAATCGGTGATTAACATTTGCATATGAATAAATAGTTAATGTTCAATAATTATCCAGGAAATTTAAGCAAGCATTTCAAGAACAGAATTGTGATCTTCCACGTATTTTAAATAAAAATATTTAACGCTTTGATTAACAGGTTTTTTTATTGGTGGATAGATGTGGTGTTGTCATCATCACCATTTTCGACCATCAAATTTTACTTTCTTTTCGCACAGACGGTTGCTCGATTCGCTGACAAAGAATATTTTTTATGTTCGGCAACAAGTCTTGAGAGATACCTTTCCCGCAATTGACTATCATCCCCCTCCCTCTACAAACAGAAAAATACATGTTTTGATTTTGCTTTTCTTAATCTTTGCTAAACAAAATCAATTTGTCAAATGACGCAATTCTTAAATTTAGGAGCTACAATCAAGTGAGTAAGCGACCGTGTGTGTGTGTTTGTGTGCGGAGGTAAGCTTGGCGTGTCTCGCTGTATTTTAGAACAACAATCGAGATGATTTAAACACGAATTTCGGTGATGTATTCAATGTGTATATGGTCATTTTAATATTTTTTCGGTAATTTAATAATTTTCACATTACCAGGTGAAGGCCGGCCGGTCAGCACTTATCAACTTTGGATGTTAGTGGGTGTAGGTGATACATTCTCATGAAATTTTGGTCATCTCATGGCAGATAATGTTATAAAATTACCTGCTTGGTTAAATGATTGCATTTCATTTTGGCCAATGCATAACCAGAATCATTAACCAGCAAGCCACCACCATTAGTCCATATCCTTGATGTGTTCAAATTACTCTCTATGTGTTGTTGTGACATTTCGAGGTCATTCTATGTTTAAATTTTTTTGGCCATTTTTTTAATAATTCCTATTATTATTTTTAGCAAAAATAAAACAACCATAAATATTTAATTGCACTTAAATTTGATTGCTCTTACCTAGGTAAGCGGAAAGTAACGCTCATAAAGGTTGCAAACTCATTAAAGGTTGTTGGTGTGTGTGTGTATGTGTGCATTTGTATTTGTTTACTCTCACACACATATACTCATACAAATACGGCTAACACCTGTTATACATACTCACACACACTTCAATTTTAATGGGAAATTGCTTGGTTGGACTTGGAACTAGTTATTGATAAGAACATCCATCATCCATTACCAAGTAATGATTAGTGGACAACTAGTAAACTTCTCGGGTATACTAATTGAATATTCAACAATAAAACAAATTAGATCCCTTAAAAATTAGCTAGTAGCAATTTTTCCAATATACTTTTGAAATTTGTTAACAAGTAAATTGTTCAAAATCCAAAGTTCTCCATAAAATCTAGAATAAATGACCTATATTTAGAATATGTCACTGGAAGAAATCCTAAATTCGACGATGCAAATACATTTTCTACCCAGCGACAAAAGGTCGAAATTCAGATATTGGATTGCCTCTAAAATTCTACATTTTTTGTTGAGAATTCACTAACACTTTGAGTTCCGATTTATTTCCGTGACCATATAACTATCCAAATCCAGAAGTCATAAAATATGTATATACTAGCTTAAAGTGTTAATTACAATGACTCATGCATTCTTAATTAAAAACGTTCGGAAAAGTCTTCCCTACGATTAGAGTCACTACTAGTAACATGTCGCAAGTTGTCACTTTCCATTCAAATACGGCTATTAACCAAACACGTAATAACAGCAAAAGGCTGCTGCAGCAGCAACATCTCTTTCTAACGCTTCGATCACGTCATCACTTGATGAAGCGGTGAAACGCTTTTGTTTAACACTCAAAAAATAGAAAATAGTTCGTTCGCTAGATGGATTGTTAATTACTAGATTGGAGCGCTTGATCTGTTTGTGTGTGTGTTTGCATTATTTTGCAAAATGACCTAAGTACGCCCGCTAAGTGAAATTGATGATGTCGCTGATGATGATGATAGCGTGCATTAAACGCCTGATTAGATTCGTGGGCGATTTTCTATGTGCTGCTATCTGATGACACAATGCCATAAAAGGATCACATTTGTCTGACACTAATAATTGGC